TTCCGAATTTTCCTTCCTGGCCCACGCACCAAATGTTGGGCCTGTGTTCGGAAAGGAATGTTGACATGAGGAAGCCACCACAGACACGATAATGTAAAAACAAAAGGAAAGTTTATTTGCTAGCGTGAGCTAGGGTCCCTGCTCTCACTGATGCAGCGGCTTGGGCAAAAGACCCCGTGCTCTTTTACTATCGCATTTTTATAGGAAAAATATAGGGTGGAGTAGCACCAGGGCAAAGGGATACAGATGATTGGTTGTTGCTAAGGGGTTTAGGGCAGGGGTCTGAGATGTTGGGGGGGGTGTTGGAATCACCCGGCTCCAAAGTCTAGTTAGGGAATTACTATCTAAGGAGGATGTAAAACCCTGATGCATGGGAGACTTGCAGGAGCCAGGTAAATCTCTGATACGTGCGGAATCCGGGGGTCTGATACGTGCCGAAATCCAGAGGGGTCTGATAAAAGCCCTGAAGCATGGGACGTGTTAGAATCCCTGACACTAAAGGCTTCTGGTTAAAAATTTACTTGGAAGCCATTAGGACTTAAGCCTCACAGTGCCTAAGGCATTTGACTGCTAACCAGAAGGCTGGTGGTTCAAACCCACCAGCCACTCCTTGGAAGGAAGATTGGGCAGTCTACTTCCAAAGAGATACCCCCTTGGAAACTATGAATCTGATTAAACTTGATGGTATGAATCTGATATGACTTGATGGCAGCATTTGTTTGTTTTTGTATGAGGCAGTGAGTTAGTTAGTTTGTCTTTGTATGGGATCACATTGACAACAGCAACTTGAAAGATTAGATAGGGGCCTTAGGGGGCAATGAGCTTATCTTAATGGAGGAGGAACAACTTGGAGAAGGAGGATGAGAATAATCAATGTCACAGAATTGTACATGTAGAAACTATTGAATTTGTGTATGTTCTGCTGTGTATATTCTCAACAACAAAAAATATATAAATTATAAAAAAAAAAAAAACCCTATGAACATAGATTTACCCTGACATACGTGGGGTTACCATGAGTTTAAGTTGGCTTGGCAGCTGGTCATATCTGTTTCCAAGGTCAGGCTTCTAGCTCCCCTCAGGGCCACATTCCATGGGGTTGTGTGAATTGCACTGCTTTGAAAGGCCCAACCAGGGTGTGGGCTTAGGGGATTGTGTGGTAGAATGCAACTGTCTCTGAACTGCTACCATGTGATTGTGATGCTAAATGAGCATGTGTCTTTGTTTTCTTTCTAGGAAGGCGCTTTTGTTTATTTGGCTCTTGTAGGAAACATTGCAGAATCAGAGGGCTTGCTTGCTTCATTGTGTAAGTAATTAAAAATGTTTGCCACTTGAAATCTTTGAGGAGATTAATTGCAAGTGTTAAATCTGTGTACCATATTGTGTTTGATTCCACTGATATGAAGTGTCCAGAATAGTCATGTCTTTAAACACAGAAAATAGATTAGTGTTTGCCAAGGACACGGGGGGGGGGGGGGGGCTGGGTGACACAAACAGTTAACAGGTAAAGGCACTCAGTTGCAAACTAGCAGGTTGGAAGTTAGAGTCCACCCAGCAGTGCCTTGGAAGAAAGACTTGGTAATCTGTTTCTGAAAAATCCACCATTGGAAACCCTATGGAGCACAGTTCTATCCTGACACACATGGCGTCACCCTAAGTCAGGATCAACTTGATGGCAACTGGTATTGGTAGGTCTGGGGTATTGGGGAAAATGGGGAGTGACTGCTAATGGGTACGGATTTCTTTTAGGAGTGTTGAAAATATTTTAAAATTAAATTGTAGGGATGGCTGCACAACTCTATGAATATAACAACCTTTAGATTGTAAACTAATGGGGGAAGTATGGAAATTATATCTCAATAAGGAGATACATATATATATATATATATACACACACATATATATTTATACACACATACATATATATATATATGTACATATACATATATATATGTACAAATATACATGTATATATAAACAACCAAACCAAACCCACTGCCGTCGAGTTGATTCCGACTTACAGCGATCCCCATTGAGTTTCCAAGGTGGTAAATCTACAGAAGTAGATGCCCAGTCTTGCTTCTGCAGAGTAACTGGTGGGTTTGAACCACTGCGGTGTAGTAAATTACTTAGTGTGGCTTTTCTACCCATAAGTCTTTGTAAACTCCAAGGTGGGAATTGCTATTAGCAACTGAGGAGATCCTGATTTTAAAGTCTCCCAGCTGGGTTATTTCTGTTGGGCGTGACAATGTTCTGGGAGGTTCCCACTCTCTCTCACGTGCTTAGAGTTCTGATGCTATGATTGGCTAGTTTGACCACCCTTCCGGGCCCAAAAGGAGGCCTCCTGGAGGCAGAGCTCTCTTGGACTGCTGGTTGAGGAAGACGTGCTGCTGAAAGAGACACGCACCCTGGGAAGAGACACGTGCTACTGGGAAAGAGGCGCAAGAGACACGCATCGCTGAGTGAGACACCGAGGGACCAGCACTGCTGGGAAAGAGACTGTGAGAGACTGTTGGCTGAGGGATGATGGGCTGGAGAGAGAGATTGAGCGTTCTTCCTGAACTTGAATTGTAGTCTGGTGCTTCCCTAATAAACCCCATAATCTGTGAGCTCTGTGTGGCCACTGCAGTGAATTACCGAACCCAGGAGAGAGGTGGTGGGTGCTTTGGGAGGAACGGTTGGTGGTGAAAGGGCTGGAGGGAGGCACCATGTCTGACCTTGCAGTAATAGGCCTTGGGTTACTGCTGGTAATCCTGTCTTCCTCTTGTGGGATTAGAGGAAGTCAGAACATGTGGCCCCCTTGCCCTTTTTGCAACCACCAACCTTCTGGTTAGCCGTCAGATGCCTTAGACACTGTGCTACCGGAGCTCCTTAAAACAAGTCCATGAGAGCCAAAATATGATCTTGATTATGTCCCACCTGAATCTAGAGATCATCTGAAGAACAGATTTGATGACCCATTGAACACCAGTGACCAAAAACCAGATGAGTTGTGGAATGACATCAAGAACATCATCCATGAAGAAAGTAAAAAGTCATTAAAAAGACAGGAAAGGATGGAAAGACCAAAATGGATGTCAGTAGAGACTCTGAAACTTGCCCTTGAATGAGAGTAGCTAAAGCAAATGGAAGAAATAATGAGATAAAACAGCTGAAGAGAATATTACAAAGGGCAGCTCAAGAAGACAAAATCAATTATTATAATGAAATATGCAAAGACCTGGCATTAGAAAGGGAAGAACATGCCCGGCATTTCTCAGGCTGAAAGAACAGAAGAAGAAGTTCAAGCCTCTAGTTGCAATATTGAAGGATTCTATAGGGAAGACAGGCACTCTGGTGGCGTAGAGCCTAAGGCATTTGACTGCTAACCAGATAGCTGGCAGTTCAAACCCATCAGCCACTCCTCAGAAGGAAGATTGGGCAATCTACTTCCATAGTGAAACTGCCTCGGAAACCCAAGGAGGGGTCGCTATGAGTTGGATCTGACTCAACAGCATTAAGAGAGAGAGAGAGAGAGAGATGGGGAAGATACCGAATGATGCGGGAAGCATCAAAAGCAGATGGAATGAATACACAGAGTTGCTGTACCAAAAAGAATTGATCTGTGTTCAGCTATTTCAGGAGGTAGCATATGATCAAGACCCAATGCTATTGAAAGAAGTCCAAACTGCACACTGAAGGAGTTGGTGAAAAATAAGGCTCCAGAAATTGACAGAATACCTACTGAGATGTTTCAACAAATGGATGCACTGCTGGAGACATTTACTTGTCTATGCCAAGAAATTCTAAAGACAGCTGCCTGGGCAACTGACTGGAAGAGATTGATATTTGTGCCCATTCCCCAGAGAGGTGGCCTGACAGAATGTTGAAATTATCAAATAATATCATTAATATCACACACAAGTAAAATTTTACTGAATATGATTAAAAAATGGTTGCAGCAGCATATTGACAGGGAGCTTCCAGAAATTTGAGCTGGATTCAGAAGAGGATATGGAATGAGGGATCTCATTGCTGATGTCAGATGGGTATTAGCTGAAAGCAAAGAATATCAGAAGGATGTTTACCTGTGTTTTGGTGACTATGCAAAGGCAGTTGACTGTGTGGATCATAAAAAATTATGGATAACATTGTGAAGATTGGGAATTCCAGAACAGTTAATTGTACTCATGAGGAACCTGTAAATAGACCAAGAGGCTGTGATTTGAACAGAATAAGGGGATACTACATGGTTTAAAATCAGGAAGGGTGTGTGTTAGGGTTGTATCCTTTCACTGTACTTATTCAATCTGTATACTGAGCAAATAATCTGAGAAGCTGGACTATATGAAGAAGAACGCGGCATCAGGATTGGAGGAATACTCATTAACAACGTGCAATATGCAGAACACAACCTGGCTTGCTGAAAATGAAGATGACTTGAAGCACTTACTGACGAAGATCAAAGATTACAGTCTTCAGTATGGATTACACCTTGTGGTAGTTAAGGTTGTGTGTCAACGAGGCTAGGCCTGGTTTTGAGTGGTGGGGCAGCTGCATGTAGTTATGGAGATTGGTAATCTGCTCCATGGTGAAATTTACTGGAGCCTTAGGGATGTGGTCTGCTTCTAGTATATAAGGAGAAGTGTTGAGAAAGGTCTGCAGCTTTTGACACACTTGAATCCTGCATGTAGCCAAGTCTTCATTTAATAGCCTGCCATGTTTCCTGTTTATCTTGAGACTGTCCCCAGGACTTGAACTAGTGGCCTGCCATGTTGTGTGGGAATTTGCGACTGTGCCATTATTTGTTGACTTTGGGTTTGTCAGCCTCAGCAGCCAGCAGCTGCCTAAGTGAAGAGACACCTCTTGTTCCAGTGGGCTAGGAGCAAGAGGCAGAGCTGAAGCCCAGGGTTTACGAGCTTTCATCTAGCCCCTGGAGATGGAACTTGGACTTCTAGCCTCCAAAATTGTAAGAGAATAAACTCCTGTTAAAGCCATCCACCTGTGGTGTTTCTGTTAGGCACAAAGTAACCAAAACACACCTCAACCTAAAGAAAACAAAATTCCTCACAACTGGACCAATGAGCAGCATCACGATAAATAGAGAAAAGATTGCAATTGTCAGGGATTTCATTTTACTTGGGTCCCAACACAGTTAACACATGTGAAGCAGCAGTCAAAAAATCAAATGATACATTGCACTGGGCAAATCTGCTACAAAAGACCTCTTTAAAGTGTTAAGAAGCAAAGATGTCACTTTGAAGACTAAGGTGAGCCTAACCCAAACCCTGGTATTTTCATTTGCCTCATATGCATGTGAAAGCCGGACAGTGAATAAGGAAGACCAAAGAAGAGTTGATGCCTTTGAATTATGGTGTTGTAGAAGAATACTGAAAATACCATGTACTGCCAAAAGATGAACAAATCTGTCCTGGATGAAGTGCAGCCAGAATGCTCCTTATAAGCAAGAATGGCCAGACTTCGTCTCACCTTCTTTGATCACATGGTCAGAAGGGACAATTTTCTGGAGAAGGTTATCATGCTTGGTAAAGTAGAGGGTCAATGATAAAGGGGAAGGCCCTCAACAAGATGGACTGACACCATAGCTGCACAATGGCCTCAGGTAATAGCAAAGATTGTGAGGATGGTACATGACTGGCAGTGTTTTGTTCTGTTGTACACAGGAACCCTATGAGTTGGAGTCAACTCGACAGCACCTAATAGCAACGATATATAAATCTGCAATGAGTGCTGTGTGAAGGGTGTGTAGTATTAAAACTGCATGTTTTCGTGCTTTTATTATCAACTTTTCCTTTTAATTGTAGGTATATATCACTAGTCCTGTAGATAATTTCCAAAATCTTGTTCTACAGAGATAACTAACTAGTCTACAAAATTTTCTTTGTCTTCTTCATGCTCACTGTATTAGTTCTCTACTGCTGCTGTAACAGAAATACCACAAGTGGATAGCTTAACAAACAGGAATTTATTCTCTTACATTTAGGAAGCTAGAAGTCCAAGTTCAGAGTGCTGGCTCTACGGGCTGGGTGAAGGCCCCTCAATCTTAGGCTTTAGCTTTTCCTCTTATTCCAGTTCCACAAAGGCTGGAGGCGTCTCTTAACTCACATAACTGCTGGCTGCTGAGGGTGATGGACCCAAGGTCAGCAGGTAAAATGGCACGGATCAGCAGGCAACACGGCTGGCCACTTATTCAAGTCTAGGAACAATCCCAAGACTGGCAGGCAACACCACAGGTCACTGAGATGAAGACTCAGCCAAATGCAGGATCCAGATGTGCCAAAGGGCTAGCAACCTTTCTCAAAGCCT